TGGACAGTCAGCTGTCCTTCTTGCTGTTGCAGTGTGTCTGCATGGAAAGCCTTGCTCAACACTTTGGGAGATTCCAGTGTGTTCGAACTGAACGCACTTTTTGGACCTGCCCCATTTCACAATTAAGCCAAAGAGAAAAAGTTTCAATGCGTGTGCACCGATTTTAAGTATAATTAAGTTTATACTTTGTTTCATTTTAACTTGTGAAGTTTCTTTGTTTGACGCTTTACTCACGCGACGCGATAAGTAAAACTGTTCGTTTTGAAGCTTTTTCGGGTCCAGTAAGGGTGAGCCCCGGGAAGATATGCAAAAACAGTTGTGCCAGTCATGATTTTCAATCCAAACCAGAGTTTTGGCAACAGGATTGCTAACATAGCATTTGCCCAGGGTTCCCAAAACCTCCAATAGTACATCATAATCATCATGGCAGCAAGGAGCCAGATTGGCAACATCGACCAGGAGTTTTTTTCCTTATTCAATCTATTATGTAAAACTGTTCGTTTTGAAGCTTTTTTGGGTCCAGTAAGGGTGAGCCCCAGGAAGACATGCAAAAACAGTTGTGCCAGTCATGATTTTCAATCCAAACCAGAGTTTTGGCAACAGGATTGCTAACATAGCATTTGCCCAGGGTTCCCAAAACCTCCATAGTACATCATAATCATCATGGCAGCAAGGAGCCAGATTGGCAACATCGACCAGGAGTTTTTTTCCTTATTCAATCTATTATATAAAACTGTCGTTTTGAAGCTTTTTTGGGTCCAGTAAGGGTGAGCCCCAGGAAGACATGCAAAAACAGTTGTGCCAGTCATGATTTTCAATCCAAACCAGAGTTTTGGCAACAGGATTGCTAACATAGCATTTGCCCAGGGTTCCCAAAACCTCCAATAGTACATCATAATCATCATGGCAGCAAGGAGCCAGATTGGCAACATCGACCAGGAGTTTTTTCCTTATTCAATCTATTATGTAAAAACTGTTCGTTTTGAAGCTTTTTTGGGTCCAGTAAGGGTGAGCCCCAGGAAGACATGCAAAAACAGTTGTGCCAGTCATGATTTTCAATCCAAACCAGAGTTTTGGCAACAGGATTGCTAACATAGCATTTGCCCAGGGTTCCCAAAACCTCCAATAGTACATCATAATCATCATGGCAGCAAGGAGCCAGATTGGCAACATCGACAAGGATTTTTTTCCTTATTCAATCTATTATGTAAAACTGTTCGTTTTGAAGCTTTTTTGGGTCCAGTAAGGGTGAGTCCCAGGAAGACATGCAAAAACAGTTGTGCCAGTCATTTTCAATCCAAACCAGAGTATTGGCAACAGGATTGCTAACATAGCATTTGCCCAGGGTTCCCAAAACCTCCAATAGTACATCATAATCATCATGGCAGAAAGGCGCAGATTGGACAACATTCGACCAGGGAGTTTGTTTCCATGATTTCAATCTATTAGGTAAAACTGTTCGTCTTGAAGCTTTTTTGGGTCCAGTAAGGGGGGCCCCAGGACCGATATTGGGCAAAAACAGTTGTTGCCAGTCATGATTTCAATCCAAACCAGAGGTTTTTGGCAACAGATGCTAACATAGCATTTGCCCAGGGTTACCAAAACTCAATAGTACATCATTAATCGTCATAATCATTATGGCAGCAAAGGAGGCCAGATTGGCAACATCGCCCCAGGAGGTTTTTTTCCTTATTCAATATCTATTATGCTAAAACTGTTCGTTTTTGAAGTTTTTGGGTTCAGTAAGGGTGAGCCCCAGGAAGGAAATGCAAAATACAGTTGTGCCAGTCATGATTTTCAATCCAAACCAGAGTTTTGGCAACAGAATTGCTAACATAGCATTTGCCCAGGGTTCCCAAAACCTCCAATAGTACATCATAATCATCATGGCAGCAAGGAGCCAGATTGGCAACATCGACCAGGAGTTTTCTCCTTATTCAATCTATTATGTAAAACTGTTCGTTTTGAAGCTTTTTTGGGTCCAGTAAGGGTGAGCCCCAGGAAGACATGCAAAAACAGTTGTGCCAGTCATGATTTTCAATCCAAACCAGAGTTTTGGCAACAGGATTGCTAACATAGCATTTGCCCAGGGTTCCCAAAACCTCCAATAGTACATCATAATCATCATGGCAGCAAGGAGCCAGATTGGCAACATCGACCAGGAGTTTTTTTCCTTATTCAATCTATTATGTAAAACTGTTCGTTTTGAAGCTTTTTTGGGTCCAGTAAGGGTGAGCCCCAGGAAGACATGCAAAAACAGTTGTGCCAGTCATGATTTTCAATCCAAACCAGAGTTTTGGCAACAGGATTGCTAACATAGCATTTGCCCAGGGTTCCCAAAACCTCCAATAGTACATCATAATCATCATGGCAGCAAGGAGCCAAATTGGCAACATCGACCAGGAGTTTTTCCTTATTCAATCTATTATGTAAAACTGTTCGTTTTGAAGCTTTTTTGGGTCCAGTAAGGGTGAGCCCCAGGAAGACATGTAGAAACAGTTGTGCCAGTCATGATTTTCAATCCAAACCAGAGTTTTTGCTAACATAGCATTTGCCCAGGGCTCCCAAAATCTCCAATAGTACATCATAATCATCATGGCAGCAAGGAGCCAGATTGGCAACATCGACCAGGAGTTTTTTCCTTATTCAATCTATTATGTAAAACTGTTCGTTTTGAAGTTTTTTTGGGTCCAGTAAGGGTGAGCCCCAGGAAGACATGCAAAAACAGTTGTGCCAGTCATGATTTTCAATCCAAACCAGAGTTTTGGCAACAGGATTGCTAACATAGCATTTGCCCAGGGTTCCCAAAACCTCCAATAGTACATCATAATCATCATGGCAGCAAGGAGCCAGATTGGCAACATCGACCAGGAATTTTTTCCCTTATTCAATCTATTATGTAAAATTGTCCGTTTTGAAGCTTTTTTGGGTCCAGTAAGAGTGAGCCGCAGGAAGATATGCAAAAACAGTTGTGCCAGTCAAACATAGCACCTTCCATTTGGTGGTTCCAGCTTTGGAGTATTCGCCATGTTCCCAAACACAGCACGAACACTAACTTGACACTTTTGGGAATTTGTGCTGATGGAGGCGCGGCAGGTGTTAGGTTAGTATCAAAATCACCCCATGAACATGCAAGATTTCAGCTGCTATGTTACCGCTGTTCAACGGAACATCCCGAAAGCTAACGTGTTGTTTTTATTGGCCCAGGTTGGATTTCACGAGAGTATTTTTTTTGTCAATTAAAATGCCACGAGAACCAATAGTTTCCGAATTGCCGTTGTGCTCGGTACCAATTTGGCCCAACCACCCCAATCCACCAACTGATGAACGTGGGAATGACTTAAATGAATCATAACATGGCGACATTGAGGTATTTTTTCCTCCCCTAATGGCGTTTGAAAAAAATGCACATTGTTAATTGGCTATGATCATTGTGAGTGCAAGTCGTGATCTTGGTTGTTTTCTTCAGGCCCACCACCGGGTCAGAACATCACGGAGCAAGGATTGGCGGCACATTTGAAACGATTTTTTATTTATACAATTTACGTACCTCTTGGTTTTCCATATCTTTGTCCATTTGAATCTTACTGCTCAACAATCTGCAGCATCGCTTTCCCTGTGACCCCTTTTGCAAACATATCAAACATTGTTTCCGCATTTTTTCAACAATAAAACATGTTCGTTGCAACCTGGACGTTTGCCCGGAGTTGATGTCCCGCAACCAACTTATTGTTCAGAGAGGGTGGCTTATTTTGATCCCTCATGAAAATAAAATTGACGTTATTTCCCAGATCAACATATTGTTCTGAGGAGGTGGCGAATTTTGATCCCTCATGAAGATGAGGTTGATTTTGTTGGCCCGTTCAGCATATTGGTCATAGGGGGTAGTGGATTTTGTTCCCTCATGAAGATAATGTTGATGTAATTGCCCGATTCAACATATTGGCCATAGAGGGTGGCGTGTTGTTAGCCCGCTCAGCATCTTGGTCATAGCGGGTGGCGGATTTTGATCCCTCATGATGATCAGGTGATATTGTGACCTCATGAAAAAAACTGTATTCAAGGTATCTTTCACATGCCACCGTGGCCTAATTTTCCCCCTTGGCCTTGCTTGGATTCGCAACTTCCCAGCAACACAGAATTGTCTCTGTTATGTCACAATGATGAGTCTGGGCGAACGTTAAGGCCGTTAAGGTTGCGGACAACATGTTCAATTTTGCTTTCGGGGTCGAAAAATATATTCAGTTGCATTCATGTGTCCACAAGTAGTACACTGATGCATTATCGTTCTGCAATATTGGCACGGAAACCAGCAGAAGAACTTGGTTCATGCCCACATGATATGGCATTGACAACGGTGAAATGATCAGTAGTTACACTAGTTATATTCTTCACCCGATGTTTTTGTGAATGTGAAAAAACGGACACAACCATTCCCAAACACTTTGTCTGTGGTTCGTGCAGCAACAAATATAAAGTTACGTTTCTTGTGATCCAAACATATCTTTGTTTCTTGCGATGAACGTGTGAAAATGAAAAGACGGAAAATTGGCCTTCATGGGTCGTGAGAGGCAAGGCAACATGCATGAGACACGTGTTTGAAATTTGTGTCAAATTTTCACAAATTGCAAACATGCACAATTTTTGTTGTCGTGGCGTGGAAATTTGCCTCAGGTGCAAGCAACGCTACCGATGGCTGAGGCGTAGAGATGCCCTGAAAAAATGTTGCAAAAGGGGTTTTATTCTTTCAGATTCTTTCATCTTGCATATCTTGCATTTGTTGCTTCCACAGCACTTTTGACCTTTTCGGTTCTGAAGGAGTGTTTGCGACTGGAATAGTAAGTTTGGCGCCTCAAATCATACAAATGGATACAAATTGGCCATTCATTCCATGCAGAATGCTCTCCGCGGTGAATATGGAAAAGTGGCCACCAATTGCATACCAATGTATTTACAAATCACCAATAACCTGCCATGGTGAAATCATCAACTAACCAAAGATGCCAATTTGCCTAAAGCGAGTATTTTTTCCATTGTGGTTTCCAACAGTTTTGGACCCACACTGCCATCTATCGTGTTGGCGCTTGGGCAGCTTGTCCGAAATAGTTTTTGTTTTAAAGGTTTGCTCGAACGCAGTTGTATGTGTTGTTTGTGTGAGTCTAGTTTGTTTGATGTTCGCTCGAGTCCAGCATGCGCAACCTCAGGGCATGGCATGGTCCCTTGGCAAGGCAGTGTGTCATCTAGAATTCGCTGGCATTGACTCACATTGACAGTGATCACTTTTCAGTTTTTATCGTAGGCTTCAAGTTTGCCTCTTAGATGTTTGCGGGCATCGGATGAATGCTTTTGTGTCCAACATCATAATGCAGTCTGGTTTTTTTTTGAAGGTCCAGAACTGTTGCGTTAAATTGGTTTTGAAAAAAACAAATATATATTATGTTTCCGTATTTTAGCAGTCGTTTGTTTGGCCTTGGTTCAAGATGATGGCCAACTTGACTTTTAGGTGTTTGATTTGCGGCAAGAATTATGTTCATGGATACGCTGCATATGCCATGTAATGCCCTGCGTTGCAAACGTTGATATTGCAAGCACAGTGCGAACTAAGGCGCTGTCCAAGGCAGAGCAAGTACAGCTTCAGAGGCTGCTGGCTGGTGTCCATGACAAGCTAGAGGACTCCTAGGGATTGCCGGAAATCGAACGTAAAAATCGGACAGCTACGGGCAGCTGAACAACAAATGAACAACCTGCACAGTTCCAAATCGGCAGATTTCTTGGGGTGGAGTGCAGACCTTTCAAAGTATCCGTATGGCAGGGTGCTTACCTAGCAACCAATGGTGGTGACCCAACTGTCTAGTCTAGTGACACACTTCTAGCTTTCATGTGTAGGACAGCCAAGGACAGCCATGTACGAAGTAATTCAAACTCCGAAATCCGGGTTATTTTCCTGAGAGCAAACTCTTCGGACTGTTTTCAGCATGTTTTTGCGTGGTTTGCCTGTTGCTGCTTGACCTGTTCCCGATTGTTTGAGTGTATGAGTATGTTTTGGATATTTTGAATTTGCTTGAGTACACTCAGATCTCAGTAATGTGTGAGATTGCTGCTGGATTTGAGCACATGACCTGGACTGGGCAGGAGTCACGCCCACGGAGACGTTTTGTCTCATCGCGGACAAAGATGATGATGTGCCTTGGACGCGGCAGGACTTGGTAAAAGACTAATACGGAATTTTCACGTTTCGAACGAAAGGGAACAGAAAATCAGAATGGAATTAGTGGAATCCTTTAACTTCCCGCAGTGTAAGATTGTCTTCCAGAATGTAGAAAGTAAATTATTAATATTATTAATTGATTGACATGTCCCAGCCTTGAGCCTTGAACCGAGTGAACTCAGAAAGGCGGATTCAGGCACTGAATCAGTTGTGCTTTAGAAACCAAACTGAGTTGACACAGGGAAACCAAGATCTTTACTCATAGTGAATTCTGAAATGGAGAATCAATGATTCACGGAATTCGATCATTCACATCTTCAGTTCCGAAACCAAAATTATCTACTTAGTTGAAATTGTTTTTGAGATTGTTTCAAACTTGTGTTCTTGAGACGTTTTTGCTCCCTTTGTGGGATTCGTGTTGCCCTGGAGCTCTTTCAGCCCACCTCACTTAACCCGTACATTCAGGGTTTGCAGTTTTGGAAAATCAGGTGTGATGAATTTTTCAGAAGTCTCGAAAAAGTCTGGTTCTTCGCGGTTGCGAAGTATCGAGGGAACGAGGTCCTGAGGACTAAGCAATACTAAGCAATACTATCACTATATCCTAAGCAATATCCTAAGCAATATCCTTAGCAATATCCTTAGCAATACCCTAAGCAATATGCTTAGCAATATACTGAGCCATATCCTAAGCAATATCCTTAGCAATATCCTTAGCAATACCCTAAGCAATATGCTTAGCAATATACTGAGCCATATCCTTAGCAATATCCTAAGCAATATCCTTAGCAATACCCTAAGCAATATGCTTAGCAACATACTGAGCCATATCCTTAGCAATATCCTTAGCAATATCCTTAGCAATATCCTTAGCAATACCCTAAGCAATATGCTTAGCAATATACTGAGCCATATCCTAAGCAATATCCTTAGCAATATCCTTAGCAATACCCTAAGCAATATGCTTAGCAATATACTGAGCCATATCCTTAGCAATATCCTTAGCAATATCCTTAGCAATACCCTAAGCAATATGCTTAGCAATATACTGAGCCATATCCTTAGCAATATCCTTAGCAATATCCTTAGCAATACCCTAAGCAATATGCTTAGCAATATACTGAGCCATATCCTTAGCAATATCCTTAGCAATATCCTTAGCAATACCCTAAGCAATATGCTTAGCAATATACTGAGCCATATCCTTAGCAATATCCTTAGCAATATCCTTAGCAATACCCTAAGCAATATGCTTAGCAATATACTGAGCCATATCCTTAGCAATATCCTTAGCAATATCCTTAGCAATAGCCTGAGCAATATCCTAAGCAATATCCTAAGCAATATCCTAAGCGATATCCTTAGCAATAGCCTAAGCAATAGCCTGAGCAATATCCTAAGCAATATCCTAAGCAATATCCTAAGCAATATCCTTAGCAATATCCTTAGCACTATCCTTAGCAATATCCTTAGCAATATCCATAGCAATATCCTTAGCAATATCCTTAGCAATATCCTAAGCAATATCCTAAGCAATATCCTAAGCAATATCCTAAGCAATATCCTTAGCAATATCCTTAGCAATATCCATAGCAATATCCTTAGCAATATCATAAGCAATATCCTTAGCAATATCCTTGGCAATACCCTTGGCAATACCCTTAGCAATACCCTTAGCAATACCCTAAGCAATACCCTAAGCAATACCCTAAGCAAAACCCTAAGCAATACCCTTAGCAATACCCTAAGCAATAGGCTAAGCAGTAGCCTAAGCAGTAGCCTAAGCAACAGCCTAAGCCATAGCCTAAGCAATAGCCTAAGCAATAGCCTAAGTAATAGCCTAAGCAATACCCTGAGCAATACCCTAAGCAATACCCTAAGCAAGACGATAAGCAATACGATAAGCAATACCCTAAAGAATATATACGATAAGCAATACCCTAAGCAATGCCCTAAGCAATACGATAAGCAATACTATAAGCTAAAAGCAATACCCTAAGCAATACCCTAAGCAATACCGTAAGCAATACCCAAAGAGATACGATAAGCAATACTATAAGCTCAAAGCAATACCCTAAGCAATACCCGAAGCAAGATGATAAGCAATACCCTAAGCAATACAATAAGCAATACTATAAGCAATACCCTAAGCAATACCCGGAGCAATACCCTAAGCAATACCCTAAGCAATACTATAAGGTAAAAGCAATACCCTAAGCAAGACGATAAGCAATACGATAAGAAATACTATAAGCAATACCCTAAGCAATACCCTAAGCAATACCCTAAGCAATTCCCTAAGCAATTCCCTAAGCAATACTATAAGATAAAAACAATACCCAAAGCAATTTCCTAAGAAATATCCTAAGCAAGACGATAAGCAAAACGATAAGCAGTACGATAAGCAATACTATAAGCAATACCCGAAGCAATACCCTAAGCAATACCCTAAGCAATACTCTAAGCAATACCCTAAGCAATACCCTAAGCATTTCCCTAAGCAATACCCTAAGCAAGACGATAAGCAATACGAGAAGAAATACGCTAAGCAATACTATAAGCAATATCCTAAGCAATCATACCCTGAGCAATGATACCCTCAAAAATAATACCCTAGGCCCTAAGCAATAATACACCAAGCGACAATACCCTAAGCAATCATACCCTAAGCAATCATACCCTAAGCAATCATACCCTAAGCGATAATACCCTAAGCAAGAATGCCCTAAGCAAGAATGCCCTAAGCAAGAATAGCCTAAGCAGGAATACCCTATCAAGAATACCCTAAGCAAGAACACGCTAAGCAATAATACCCTAAGCAATAATACGCTAAGCAGCAATACCCTAAGCAGCAATACCCTAAGCAATAGCATGAGCAATACCCTACCCTAAGCAATACTAAGCAATGCAAAGCAATGCTAAGCGACGCTAAGCGATGCTAAGCAATGCTAAGCAATGCTAAGCAATGCTAAGGAATGCTAAGGAATGCTAAGGAATGCTAAGCAATGCTAAGCAATGCAAAGCAATGCTAAGCAATGCTAAGCAATGCTAAGCAATGCTAAGCAGTGCTAAGCCAAGCAATGCTAAGCAATGCTAAGCAGTGCTAAGCAGTGCAAAGCAATGCTAAGCGATGCTAAGCGATGCTAAGCGAGACGAAGCAAGACGAAGCAAGACGAAGCAAGACGAAGCAAGACGAAGCAAGACGAAGCAAGACGAAGCAAGACGAAGCAAGACGAAGCAAGACGAAGCAAGACGAAGCAAGACGAAGCAAGACGAAGCAAGACGAAGCAAGACGAAACCCTTTTGTGGCACGTGGCACCTCACTCACCAAGGCTTCGGAGCCCGATCCATGTCCAAGACTTGTGCTACCGCTTGCAACTTGGTCAAGCGAGCCAAGGAACTTGGAACATGGAAATACATGGAACAAGATGGAGTCCTGGATCTTGCAGGAATCCCTGAGAGCAGGGCAAGTTGAGCTGAGACTATCTATTAGTAACTATCTATTGTACTGCAGTGGAGTTTGTCTTGATTTGCTTTGGAACTTCCTTGAATGGTTGAAAAACAGATCTATATGTGTATACATACATATATATATACACATCATACATATGTCAATGTATATATATAATGTATTATTTTATAGAAATGTGCACACGCACATCATGTAGACGGTCTTGGCATTTCGATTGAGGACTTGACACATTGATGACATGCACACGACTACATAGTGTGGGCAGACTATTGGACTCGTGAACCATGGGCACATCATCGGTAAACATCGGTAATGAAAAAGAACAAACTTGATTTCAGTTGACGAGCTTAAGACAAGGGCAGATGCGGTTTTCCAATCAGAGTTGGCTGACGTACTCATTGTCGCCTTTGAGGCAAACCTTTCCCTTCTTTTCAAACTCGCATCGAGATTTTCTCTCCTTGCTTTCACGAGAGTTTCTTGGCTCTGTGAAGACTTCAACAGGAAACTTGAAAGAGCACTTGATCTCGGAGGCATGCTATTTTTATATTCTGATCATGCCATGTTGTTGCGTTGGTTTATTTTGTACCCAGTGATGTTGCCACGATCCATTTTGGAATCGACATCAGAGCGATTTGACTCGGAATCGCACTAGCTGCAAGCTTGAGGCTGGACATTCGGATCTTCCATCCTGGCCAGACTGTACTGAAAGAGGGTGAGTTTGGGGAGATGACTTACATCTTGGTGCATGGAGAGGCACGTTCAGAAATCCTCACGATTGCCCTAGGAACATTTAAATCATTTGAATGGCATGCACCTTGGTGCAATCGAGTCCAATTGAGTCCAATCGTCGAGTCCAATCAATTCAAACATATTCAACAATCCTGGAAAGCTCGTTTGCAAGTCAAACCTGAACGTTCTTCAAACCTTTGGATTGTGTCACCAATCACAGGTGGAGGTGCTGACAGAGGCGATGGCAAATGAGGTCGGAAGATGTAGACTTGAAATGACTTGAACATCTGCCTCACTGTTGCTCCATCGCATTATGCAGCTGCAACGCCTGCCACTGGATCATGACAGATCGATTTGGCGGATTTGATACTGGGTTCCGGTATGGCGGTTTGATCAACTGTTGAATTTCTTGTCTGGTCACACAGGAGTCGGCACCTATACGGATCAAAGCGCCCAGCATCTTTGGTGAGAGCCCACTGCTTCTTGGAGCGCCTGCAAGGCTCCTCGAACCTGCACATCACTCATGACAACATCTTTGAACTGTTTATATAGGACTAGAATGGACAGGTCCAGTGGAGTCCAGTTGACAAAAAATGCATCTCCCAAGTTGGAGTCGTAAAAGTTATCCACGCGCAATGCAATTTGCAAGAATTTAGTGCGTGGCTGAGCCACCTCTGTAGTTACAGCCTGCACTAAGGGCATTGCATGGCATTGCATGGCATTGCATGGCGTTGCATGTTGTGTGTGGTGGGGATGAATGGTTTAGTGTTACTCAAACACTTGAACTGGTTCCTGGAAAGAACTGGTTTGAGTCACTGCAGGAGGACCGCTACGATCGTTGCGCGGGCGGGATCGCTTTTGACTTTGTCCAAATTGCATTTTTTTTGCGTTTTTTTTGCTTTTGTCAGCAATTTTGTCATCTTTTGTCCATTGAAGTGTTTGAAAGCTTGGCTTGATGTCAGCCACGGAAGCTGCGTAGGTTTTGATACCAGTTTGATGGTCTCTGAATGGCGTTCACACAAAATGTGTCCTTTCAAGGATGTCCATTGCATTTTTCCACTTCAGAAGCAGGCATTTCTCTTTCCCTCCCGGAAGCAGGCAGACATCTCCTTCCCCCCCAGGTTTTTCACTTTGTTTGGGAGGCCATTTGCGATGCCCGCATGGTGCACCAGCGAATCTTCAACCAACTGTGCCTTGCTTTGTTCTGATGTTGGTTCGAAGCCAGATTCTCTTCCTTGAGATTGTATTTCTTGAAGTGTGAGGAGTAGAAGCAGTTCTATCAAGAAAGTGAATATGCATATAGTTGATTTGGAAAACATGAAGGAAACAGACCTCTGCAAAGAAGACTATGCATGTTGTTTTGCTTAGGCTCAGTCACTTTCCTGACGAGAAAGTAGTGTATCGCAAGATGGCGCAAAAAAGATATGGAAAGAGGTGCGACACTAAACATTTAGCGCAAACTTTAGTTTCACACATAGAATTTCCCTAAAACGCACTCGGCTTATTTCGGCTTACATAATCTTGCAAACCTGCCACGAAAACTCTAGACCAAATCAAAGATCAAGTCACAGACCCATGGCCACCTGCCAAAATTCTTTGAGCACCAAGTTCACAGAACAAAAAACATTTTGAAATTCACAGTTGTTGTTCACAGTTGTTCCTTTGTCAGGCGGCCGTGGATTCGAAGGAGCACGTCTGTTGCCTCAACCGAAACGAAGGACCAAGATGGAGCAAGTACAAGAACTAGACGAAACTAGACTTTTGAATGCCTTTCAGTTGTAAATATGTTGATTATGTTGTATGTTCACGCCGTTCACGTCCGTTCCGTTCCTAAGATTTGTTAAGGTTTGTGGTTGCCTCATGGTTGCCAGGATACCCGGCCTTCAACTGTGGCCTCCATGCTGGAAGATCCCAAGGGGGCCGTGACGACTGCGGGGTGCTCAGCCTGTTCCAGCGGACCTTGGTACTATATATAATCATTATATAATCTATATATGATTTAATAAATACCTTCAGAGCACTGCCTTCAGAGTATTGAGCAGCAGATCTGTGATTGAGACAGGAGAGTCCAAGCGAGATTGGACAAAGCACTTCAGTAAAGCACAGCAATGTGGCATAGTGCCCTTCAGTCAAGTCATATGCAGATTATGCAGTCGTGATTTTCACATTAGAAAAGCTGAGTCCGTGTGAACGGACGCTGAGGAGGTCAAAGAGGCACGGGATGCAAAGACCGAAAGCAAGTCGTCCAAGAAGACCAAGGCTTGGAGATGCTGGGAGAAACAGACAAAAGAACATGATGTATATTTGAATGTGTATGTATATGTATATGTATATATATGTATCCGTCTATGTATGTATATATGTATATATATGTATATGTATATGTATATGTATATGTATATGTATATGTATATGTATATGTATATATACATGTAAATGTATATTTATATGATATATATATATGAAATATGTATATGTATATGTATGTATATGTATTTGCATATATATATATGTATTTGCATATATATATATATGAATATGTATATATGTAAATGTATATGTATATGCATATGTATATATATATATGCATATGTATGTATATAGATATATGTGTATATATATGTATATTTAAATGTCAATACTCGTATGTATATATATGTGTATGAATATGTATATGTATTTATATATATACACATGTATATGCAAATGTATATGTATATATATATATATGTATGTATATATAGATGTATGTATGTGTACATATATATATATATATATATATATGTATGTATATATATATGTATGTGTACATATATATATATATATGCATGTATGTATGTATCTATATATGTGTATATATTTGTGTTTGTGTATAAATATGTGTGTATGTGTATATGTATATATGCATAGATATGTCTTTATATATGTAAATATATGTATATGTATTTGTATTTGTATATGTGTATGTATATATATAATTATGTATGTATATTATATTGACATATATAATATAAGTATGTTTATGTATTTCTATGTATATGTATATATTTAATACATATATATTTATATATCTTAATATATTTGTATATACATACATACATATATATGTATATACATATACATATATATATATACATATATGTATATATATATATATATTTGTTACATACATGTATATGTATGTATTTATGTATACATATGTATATATATATATTTGCATATATCTATGTAGACGTATATATAAATATATATATGTAGATGTTGATGTATATGTATGTATATATATAATATGAATCTATATGTGAATGTGAATGTGTATGTGTATATGTATACGGGGTAGAGGCTTGAGGTTTCCAGAACATCGAGGAACCTTGAGTCTTGCGATACAACAACACATGTGTGATCTTCTAATATACAGAAGGGGGCGGAGGGGGATATGAACGTCCTTTGAACTGCGTTCGAGCAAAGATGTTGTTATGTTGATCTGCGTTGTGGCATACAGAAGGGGGTGGGGCTGTATTAATGTCCTGTGATCTGCATTAGGGCAAAGATGTTGTTTCTCTTCGTTTTGGCATACAGACGGGGGCGTCCTTTGAACTGCGTTAGAGGAAAGATGTTGTGACAGTGAAGATGTTGTTACGTTGAAGATGTTGTTATGTTGAAGATGTTGTTTCGTTGAAATTGTTGAAAATGTTGCTACATTGAAGATGTTTTTCCTTTGAACATGTTGAAGATGTTGCTATGTTGAAGATGTTGTTGCGTTGAGGATGTTGCTACGTTGAAGATTTTTCTACATTGAAAATGTTGCAGATGTTGTTATGTTGGAAAAAGGGGATGTGCATTTCGCCCTTGGTTCTCTGGGGAAGTATGACATTTTTATCGGCACGCAATTCTCCTGGTTTTTACAAAAACAACCTAAAATGAAGAATTGGAAAAACCTAATACTAATAAAGACCGCGGACAACATATCCCAAGCATGTTGTCCGCGTGTTGAAGTCGTTCAATGTGTTATCATGTTCCATGAAGACCACCAAACACTGTAAAATGTAGTGGAAAATGTCATTTCCAAATTTTTCTCCAGCTCCACTTCCATTGCGTTCCAGGGATCCCCAAGCCTCTACCCTGTATAAGTATATGTATATGTATATTTATACTATATATATAAACGAGGGTGTGATTTAGCCACTTGCAGAACAAAACCAAGCAAAAAGGTTCAAACATTCGACACCTTGCAGTATCACGCAATTCAACCATTCCTTTCCAGGTGGGTGAACAAGTGAAGCTCAAAACAATAACCGCGATGTGAGACAGGCGTAGTACGTTCATTCAGTAGTCGTACAGATGAACCAATAAGTAAATTAATTATTTGTGGTTTGTAGATGTTTGTAGTATGCATGATAGGATGTACTGTATACTGACATACAGAGAGGTTGGATATTAGATGGATGTTCCTTATGATTAAGCACACAATTGCATTTAAGGAAATCAATCAAAACATACTCTGAAACCTAGAAAGCACATCAAAGCTCTCAGATCCCCTAGCCTTTGCCCTGTGCAAGGCTGTGTCGAAGGACTTGCACCTTCCGCCGATTTTTGCTGAAACAAAGCGATAGCGGCTGCCTCCCAAGGCTTGTAGAATTTTGCTTTCTATCAGAGCTGCGGCAGACTAAGCAAACGTGCTTAGATGTCGAATTTGTCGAATGTCATTTCCTGATCTTTTGTTCCTTTTTTGGACTTGCCTTCAAGAGGCAAGAAGCATGCACCGGGCAGTTTGAGCGAAAATCGCCCGATTGCCTTCGGTCATAAACGTCATGCTTACCTGTGAAGTGTAGGGTTGGTGTGCATATTTTCGCAAAACGCGATGTTGCATTCGACCCACTGTGTTTGCTTCACATCTCTCCTTGGAATCAAAGGTCTCAAGGATTGAACGGATTCACACATGCCACAGATGCCACGAATGTGGAAATGAGGTTGATGAGGTGAGAAAGTGCGAAAGTGAAGTACGAAGCTCATGGTTTGTCCCCATTCATGAACCCTGTCATATTGGGTGTACCCAGCATTTGGGCGCTGGATCCATTTGAGCTCTGAGCTCTCTCTGAATTTAGAGAATGAGCCGGACAGAACCCAAACTCGACAGTGCCGAAGCCCTCGAAACTCGGACTCGCTGTCAACTACATAGTATCAGAAGATATCAGAAGGAAATCCATTGGATGTACAGACAGATTTCCTGCCGCCCAGATGTGCTTTGCCCGTCCATGCATTAAAAGTGTTTGCATTCCGTCGAGTCGAAGACGAAAAGCAAAGTCACTCAAGCAGAAGCAATCCTTTCGGTATGTTCGCCTCAGACATTGCCATCGTTGCACCATGTTGAAATCCCATGTGGCACCTTTTTGTGCAAAGTGATTCAAAGTGATTGTTCTCAATGTCTGGACACCAGGGCGCTATGCCTGCAGTTCGTCTGTGTGGTTTTGGCCTTTCCAGTGGCCTTCGGAGTGCCAGCAAGATTGCAAAGGACCCGGGTTGAACATTTGTGGCTTACAGGATTTTGAACCTTTAGTGAAATTTTCGTCTTACTTGCAGGCCTCAATCCTATTTCCATTCGAAGGTCCACAAGCCGAGATCCATCGAGGCAGGAAATGCTCAATTTGCCAAAGGCATTTAACACCGGACTCTCTGTTGATCCTGATATTCGATTTTCTCTTGGGGTAGAATCTAGTAGAACATACTGGGCATGGTGACAGAACTTCAATGTGCAAAAAAAACAGCAAGGAATGGTAGAACAACGAGTACGTTTGCATCAGGAAAACATATTTTGACATGAATCCTTAGGATTGCAAGCAACATAGTTGTAGTGTGTTGTAGTGCATTTCAGAAACCAACACGTTTTGGTATACAGAGGTCCCTGCCTAGAAGCAAGAAGTCAATCACTAATAAGCCTGGAAAGGTTGATCGAACTGCCGTGACCTTGTGAGCTTGCATCAAACTACAGAGACCACATGGAATGCCGCTTGCTGACCAGTTGTAGTTCAAATATGTTCGAACGTTGACGTATGAGCAACACCGCGGGCGCAAACTTTGGCAGTTGCAGACCGAAAACTGGCAATGTTGAACTTGATTCGGTATTGAGTGCATTTAAAGCACAACTGGAGCATCCAAATGCATGCATGATATATATATATATAATAATATATATATAATAATATATATATATATTTATATATATATAATGATATATATATATAAATTTAATAATAATAATGTTAACAATAATAATAATAGTAATAACAATAATAATAATAATAACAATAATAATAATAATAACAATAATAATATTAGTAATAACAACAATAATAATAACAACAATACTAATCATAATAACAATAATAATAATAACAACAATAATAATAATAACAATAATAATAATAATAACAACAACAATAATAATAACAACAATAATAATAACAATAATAATAATAACAACAATAATAACAATAACAATAATAACAACAACAACAATAATAATAATATTAATAATAACAATAATAATAACAATAATAATAATAATAACACCAATAATAATAATAAAAACAACAACAACAATAATAACAATATTAATAATAATAATAACAACAATAATAATAATAACAATAATAATAATAACAATAATAATAACAACAACAATAATAATAATAACAACAATAATAATAACAACAACAATAATAATAACAATAATAATAAGAATAACAATAATAATAACAACAATAATAATAATAACAATAATAATAATAGCAACAATAATAATAATAACAATAATAATAATAACAATAATAATAATAACAACAATAATGATCATAATAAAAACAGTCGGACGCCCTGTAACCGCACGCCGGCAAGGGACAAAATCCCCATGGCACGGTGGCGTTCAGTGCCTTTTTCCAGACGCGCTTTCCTGGCGTGGGTCATGGCCCAAATGGCCTGCTCGGTCCTGTATATCATATATATATATATATATCAAAAACAACATAGAGATTATGTATACCAAAGATATCATACACTTTCACTTTCGGGTTGCTGCACGAAATAGTGCTCGGTCTTTGCCATGCAAACGTGACACGGAACTGCCTAGTCGTGGGTTCATCCATGGTAGTCCGGCTGAACAAATTCTACCGGGACGAAGTCTTCCACGACAAAATTGGCAAATTCCTCTGGCAGCACGGGTGTCGTGTCGACGCCCTCAAAAGTGCTGCAGACGAATGAATTAATGGCAATTGCCAAGGCCCGGTTCAGGCCTTCGGGATAGATCTTGGCTCGAGCGGTTTTGAACTCTCCTTCTGCATCTCTGCCGGCCATTCTTTCATGTGCACCGGCCCCATGTGGGCATCTTCCGCTCTGCCCTCCAGTCAGCGCAATCTGTCGGAACCGCGGCAACCGTAGATGCAGAATGGTGGTGGGTTTGGTGGCCACACTACCCATCGTACACTGGTCAAAGGATGTCACCCCGACGCATTCAAGGGTGCGCAGGAGGCGCACTTCACGGCTGCACCAAACGCTTGCTGGGTCCTTCTTGGCCGCCCACAGCGGGAACTGGGGATGTTCCAAAAATCCCGCGCCCCCAGACTTGGCAAGTCCCAGCAGAGCTTCCAGCAAAAAGCGGATGAGCCTGGACCCAATGAGGCATTGTTGCCATTGCCTTGGCTTCAGATTGGGGAAGCCTAGGGGCCATGTTCCAGACCGCAGCGGTGGTGGTCCCCCCTCCAGCAAACGGGCGGCCGTGTATGTTTCACACGGTGGGCCGCCACCCATACCGCAGATCTGGCCGGATGCAATCTGCGCCATCCAAAACTCTAGCTGCTGTATAGCGGTTGCTCTGGTTGCCCCTTGTCTGTGGTGCCGGGTTGATACTACTCAGTGAGCAGTCAGACTGATTAAGTTGGTTTGCATTCAATGGGCAGAGGTACAATTGCATTGAAATAAGCATGGAGCACAGTCAGTGCAAATGAGGTTGTTTCCTCAATGAATGTGTCCATGTGTTTGGCTCTGATGGCCGGCGGTGGCTGTCACCATATTGATGCTCCGGGTGGCCGGTGGGCGTTTTTATATAGTTCTTGACTTGCAGTAGCCAGTGGGCATGCCCCCAACTCTAAGTCTTAAAAGTGCAAGGTTTCAGTGGGAAGTTTTTGTCGAAAAATCCAAGGTGAGTCAAGATGTTTACCTTTCAAATGTTGATAACCATTCTTAGTTGAACACAGCTAACTTCGAAGAAAACAATTGGGCTTCCTAGTTCACACTATTGTTGCAGGTTCAAATTCTGCAGGTTCAAATGAAATCCAAACAAGCCAACAAACAATGGCCTCAATGCCAACCTCCCCTTTTTCAATGATACCGTTTCCAGAATGAAACCCAGCCCAGAGTCTAAAAATATTGGTTTCATTTAATTTTGTTGACTTAAAATTCACTCATCACAACAATGCAAAGGTGAGCACGGCGACTTTTGTTGTTTTCATGTACTGTAAATGGACACTTAAGCATGCGCAAACCAATTCCTCTTTTGATCAAAGGTGAAAACTGACAAGTACCTGAGATCACATGGAACGTTTAAGTTTCCATCAGTTTGGAAAAAAAACAATCCCCACGCCGCCATAGTATTTTTTCCGATTCCTCACAGGTGACGCGGTGAGCCTGTTAAAGATTCTTCCGTCACTGGTTTTCACAGGTGACGCGGTGAGCCTGTTAAAGATTCAAGGCTTGTCTTAGGGGTCAAACTTCCGGCGCTGCGTTTCAGCGCAAATTCCATGGTCACCGGTCAAAATCACTGTCCAAGGCTATTATCTTTTATTAAACTATAATTTTTGGGTTGTAAATCTATCCACTTTTATGGGACGCCTTTGGAAAGTGATTTCTCAAAATTAATAGCTTGCAAGTTGACAAGCAATTCCGTAAGGCCTTCGGCCAAAACAAGTTAAACACAAAAATTGCTTTTCCATCTCCAAAGGCCAGGAGCATTGACACGTGGTGATTCATGAATGATTCATTTTCTCAGTGGTTTTGGGGTGGTTAGTGCAACTGATTATGGCCTTATTGAAATTGGATTTGGGGGAGCATCGTATCGCCCCTCCAGCAGAAATCCAAGGCATTCTCTTGGTTTTCATGGCAAAGCCATTGAAGGAGGCTTTCAATTTGATGCCCCTCAAAAAGAATCTCCTGCCACCAGCCGAAGCTATCCTGGGGTGCCCACAGCCTGCCATCTTCATAGACGAAGCCATCAATGCGAAGATGAGAGATCAGGAACTGGCGTGGATCATCAAAGAATTCGCGATGGTCCACCTCATGACCATCATGAGTCTTCATTGACAACCACAACGTATTCATGATTGCCAAAAACACCGGCATGTAGGTGTCCCTGCCATCGCCAGTGCGCATCGTCTCTGCAATCCATGCTTCCACAAAGGATCCCAGTTTGCAGCGATTGGCCATCCAGCTCTCCCATCTTGGAACGCACAGCCGGGCAAAGGCCTGACAAGCTTGCGCTCTTTTCAAGAAGTGTTACAAACAATAAAACCACTTTCCCAAACAGTAAACAGTTAATGCATTCAAACAAACTCATGTTTCGGTCATAGCCTTATAGTGCCAGGGGCCCCATGGCATACGGGCTTTGTCATGGTAGTCCAGGTGCAACTCCTTCACATTCGTCCGATCGTGCCTAAGATTGCGTGCGGTCACACTGACGTAAGCTTCAAAACGCGCTTGCACATTTTGCATGTTTGAGGTTCCTAAAACTTTTCGACGCACAAATCATATGTCATAGAAACATTGTGTTTAAGATATTCCAGTGCCAGAATGCAGGTCTTTCCATTGATTGTAGAATTCAGTGCGCCAAGCCATCCTTTTGAACGTAGCCAAATGCATCATCAGCTGTAAGAAGAAGGTCCTCAACTGATCCCCATTGAAATTGGCGGCGAGGAAGTCTCTGCACTCCATGGCTGACGTGGAACTGTTTGGATCCGGAAAAGCTTTGAAGCCACAGGGCTGAAACCGGCAAATCGTGGTAAATCTGGGCAAATCGTGGTAAATCTGGGCAAATCTTGGCAGATTTTGGCAACACTTAATTGATGAATATTGTTGCGCGCACCTTTTGCAACATGTTCTGCAGCACCCTTGCAGGCCCATGTCATCTTAGTGACAGGGCCTTGCAGGGTGTGGCCTGCGGATGATATTGTGGGTGAAAAGGCGATTGCGGCAAAGCCCGGCAAGGTCCATGTCATCTTGTGACTGGGCCTTGCAGGGCACTGCCTGAGGACATAAATTTAAATTAGCAAGGTAGCCATGAAACTGAGAACAGTATCGTCAGGTGTCGTCAATAGGTTCCATTCCACCGCGTACTGATCAGCAGCATTTTTTCCTGGAGACTCACGTGCTAATCACACGAATTGAATTACACCCCGCCGGCAATTTTTAATTGGCAGCGCCACCAAAAAACTGGAACGCTGACACACAGTCAACTGTCACATCACACGTTTTTAAACGCTTTAATGGACGTGGTGGACCCATCAGTTGTGGGTCGGCCTCCCAAATTTGGGACTTAAAAATGCGGACGTGGTAGCAATCAGGACCCACCAGTTGCCGATCTGTCCCCAAATTCATCTTTTCAAGCCGCCGTGCCAACTGCTGAAAGGCTTTGGCCTCACATTCCTGCACATTGACTGGGTAAGGACGAAAATGCAGAAATTCTTGGTCTTTATAACGCATCCATCCTCGTTCAGGCTAGCATTTGAACGTTGAATATGTTACTGTTAAGTTGAGGTCCAATAATTTACATGTTAATGGAGCTAGAATGCATCAACTGCACCTATCGCGATTTGATTTAGGAGAAAATGTTAAAATACATTTTAAAATGTTAAAATACATTTTAAATGTTAAGATACATTTTAAAATGTAAAAATAACGGATACGTTCAATGATTGAGGTGGGCAAGTGTTTTCCGAAGAATCCAGTCCTGCTCTTTAAAGTAGTAGCCATCGAGGATGGAGTCAATGATCTCGGCTAGGTACTTTATCTGAGGATTGTCTAAGTAATCCTTCATCGCATCGCGGCCTCATCAAGACATCAAAGTAACCCAACTTGAAAATATGACGGAGGTAATCAAGAAATTAACAATATCAAAAGTAATCCAAAGCCCAGGCACGTCTTTTCAATCTAGTCTTTGTCCAGACTCTCATGCCCTGAATGTCATCAGGTGATTGTCGATAGCACCTTCCCAAAGTAGCATCGAGGTCGTCAGCCATCCTCAAAACCCTTGAGCCGCAAACTGCAACAAAAACAATCAAAGCAAGTCCAAGTCAGCTTGATGTATCAAGAACGAAAGTTTGTCTGCCCAGCTGCATGCGCATCAAACCGCTCTAACACCACCTTGTTGCTGGATATGTTGTTTCACTAATGCATTTTCGTCGGAGGCCTACCCGGCCTAACCAAATTAACTTGAAAAACATGGCAAACAATTTTAATGGAGATACACGTGAACTCAGCAATGCAGGGATGGTTGGTTGACTGGTAAGCCCCGCAAGGCCCTGCAAAGTTGCAGGACCTTGCTGGGCTATGCCAACCGGACGACCTGCCAACCATGCAAGGAAAATCGCATCACATTTTTTTCCGTCTCTCCAGTGCAGGCAGCACTCTCCAAAGTCAGACTCATGCCCACACTGCCGTCCTTTCATGCGTGGGATCCCTAATTTTGTAGACAGCATCTGGAAGATGGCCGGACGGTGGAGTCAGCTCCCACTGATCCTCAAAGCTAGGGACCAGCCCTGCCGCAACCAAGGCCCTCCCACTAATCCTCATGACCAGGCTGATACTAAAGCCATCGCCCAGCGTAGCACCGATCTCACTTTTCGAAAAATTTTGCAGCAAGTCATCAACCATAGGTTTGGGCCATCCTTGGAGAGCAGCGATTTCCCAAACATTCATCCAACGTTTCAGCGACATGAGGTAATGCCCGTTGTTGCCTGCCCTTGCCTTTGTCAAACAAGGTGACACATTCAACATGACCGACAAGAATCCCTTGCCAGCATGGGCATCGCAAATCAGCATTGCATTGCGCTTGGTGTACTCAGCCTCCTGGAACTTCTTCTTGGCAATCTTCCAAGCCGCTTCAATGTTTTCCCTGCGACCAGGACTCACACTTTCCTCCTGAGAAACGTTGTTCACCAAAAACCTGTCGAAAGAATGGCAAGGGAGGCAAATCGGCCAAACGAAGGGTGCCCCCAAACGACTCTTGAGCACAGCAACCACAAAGACCCGTGGTCTGTGGTGAGGGATGGCTCCATGAGTGCAAGTGTCAAGGACCTTGGCTTTGACTGAGTAGCCTGCTGAGCGCAGCACTTCAGCCAATGCATCAAGCACAGGCCGGTTACGTTTGTTGACCAGGCCCTTCACATTCTCGAAAAATGCCACGCGTGGCGTCTGCGTCAACACGTAGTCGACACTGTGGAGCAGCACGCTTCCACGTGGGTCTGATAGACCACCACCTTTTCCTGCTGTTGAAAACGCAGGGCAAGGGGCGCCAGACATATAAATGTCGCATCTTGGCGCGGCAGCATTGTCTCTGCTAGTGATGTCGTGATAGACCACTTCCTTGGTTGAGCTCGCGTAAGCAGCAAGCGATGCAATTGACGCATCATGTGTTCGAAACAAGTTGCAACCAAGCTTCTGGAGTATCACCGAAATGTGCATGTACTTGCACGGACATTTTCCTTCTTGTCTCGCAAATGTCCTTCATTTTTTTGACAAGTCAAGACCAAAAATGACTGCTGAAAATTTGCAAGGCACATCAAACACCAAAACTAAAACTTCAACTGATAATAAACAAGCCAAGTATCTGATATGAAAGCCGTCTGCAACTTCACCGATGCTCCAAGCGCGAACTTGAGGGCAACGAAGTCCGAACTGAGACCTGTGCAGTCTGAGCCAAGCTTGATAACCTTGCCTGAGCCGGCTCTCTGTCCAGCATTCGGTACCTTCTCCGCCCGTTCTCTCAATGACTTGATGAACTCCTGCGCAAATTTCCTGGGCGAGCAGCGGCTGTCAACTTGCATTGAATTGGCATGACTTCATATTCGACCACAAACATTCTGAATTATTCGGCACGCGCAGCCAACAAACTCAATTATCATGCAAATGGTGCAAATCCAGCATAACTAGCTAAATATTTCACAGCTTTTGATTCATTATCTTCTCCTTAAAAATGAAAATAACTTCAAGTACCATGCTTGACACCAGCTAAAAGTTTATAAGTGAATCAAGTGTCTTCTGCGCCTCTGCGCTGGGCTCTTTTTTTGCTTTCTCAACTGATTTCGGCGCAGTCTTCGATGATTTCGCTGCCGGCTTCTTCAAACAATGCTTCTTGACTGGAGGTCCACTCTGTGAACTTGATGCAGGCTTCTTCAAACAAGTCTTCGCCATCTTCTCGGGTGTATCTTTCCGTCCTGCATTGCTCTTCATCCGCTCAGGTTTGGTGACTTTCCTCTTCATTGGCTCAGGTTTGTCAACCCTCTTCGCATCACACTCTGCCCAGTCAAAGTCCAAATCCATTTTGAACTAATTAAATCCTCTTGAGAGTAAAGGGCAGATCCAAATCATTGGAGGAAACTTGCATGCAGGGCAGCTCCAGGATTTCCATCAGATCTTAAAAGTCTTTAAATTGAAGTGCCTTGGCTTTCTAAATTTGTCTGCTGGTTAGTTCCGAGAACCCGCTTCCACATTTTTCCCCAGCGATCGAAACCGGTGCCTTATTGTTTGACAAAATGGCAGTCACCCGGGCTGACTGAGTCATCAAAACTCAAGCGCCGGCTCAAACAGGCCAAGGCTAAATTGGCCACTTCAACAATGATATATAATATATATATTTATAAATATTTATATGGATGTTATATATATATATATATAAATATATAAACATAATATATAATATATATATAACATATTGCTGAAATCGCAGTTCAACTTTGAATGCACCGGCATGTTATATGTTAATACGGTGTATGGGGTAATCAGTTCAAGTCGGCCAATGGTATCCCATCATCCAAAGTTCTACTCACTTCGCCTCAGTCTCTGAAGCGGAATCCGAATCTTCGAGCAACTCTTCCTCGTCTTTCTTCTTGTTCTTGGGCTTCTTGGGTGGCTTGGGCTGAATCTTGGGATCGGATTGATTCTTGCGTTTTTTCTCCTCCTTTGCCGTCGTGGCAGAGTCTGACGCAGCAGCCCACTCAGGGCTGTAGTAAGTTGATCCTTCAGACCTCATCTGCATCTTGATGAACTCCACCAGCTGTGCCTTGAGCAAGGAGCAATGTTGGTCCGTCATTCCCAATCCCAAGTACGGCACGCGGCGAAGCAAACATGCCCGTGCAAGATCTCCACATCCCGGAGTCAGATCCAGGCAACCACGGACCTCATATGCCCCAATGGCATCTGAGTACAAGGATTCGGGGAGGTGATGGTAAAAGGCTGGTTCGAAGCTGTCGTCAGATCTTTCCTCCTCCTTGCCATCCTCAACTGCGACATCGGAGCCGCCCATCATCTTGGCCCCGTACATGTCTTTCCTTTTTTTGGCAGATTCAGAAAAACTTCAAAAAGAAGTGCTTTAAATCATAGATACCGTGGTTCAATGATCAATGACAAAAATAATCAAACGAAGGTGCCCCCATTTAATGACTCGGCGAAAGAAAACAGAAATTTATCACAAGGTTTCCATTGCCAAAGGTCTTCTGCCCATAGGTCATTGTCCATTCATCTGCCTGGCTTCCCAACCCGATCCATCCGATGCAGTTGCCACGGTTGGTCCCGGGGTACTTGGTGTGCTTTCGCTCCGGAAGCCAAGACGCCAGGGACTCCGTGGATACAACGTGCCAGCGTTGGATTTGGTTGGTCATTCCACGATTGAGCTTTCTTTTCGATTCAACTGATTCCTGACTGACATGATCCAACAACCAGAACCTGTACAACTAAGCATAATAAAATAATAAAACAATAATAAAGCATTTGCATTTTACACACCTGTCCTGACTCAAGCAAAGGGTGACCTCAGAAACTTCCAGATAGTGAGCAAGAGCCGCACCTTTGGCGTCCTTCGTCTTGAATGGGGACAGCAATATGTCAACCACGTCGCGACCTCCATCATTCAAAAAAATGAAATCTCCATCCAACGGTTTGTCATAGTGGTCCGGGCCCACCTTTTGGTTGGGAGAGCCACCCCTTCCCTTGATCGCCCCGTGGACCAACTTCTTCAGAAGGGCTGCAGTGAGAGCAGGCGCTCTTCTGTCAGGTCTTTTCACGGCTTCTGCGAAAAGCTGTACGTCAAAGTGGATCATGATGCAGCTTTTGCCTTGAGCACCTTGGTACTTGCCAGACAGCTGGCTCTCTTCAATCACCCGAGCAACACCTGCCAAAGTTGGAGGCTCAACAACGAGGGAAACATAGATCTGCACTTGTTGCGCAGCCGTCGCAGTGTAGTGCCTAGACTTCGGACCATCAATAAAACCGGTAAAACAAAGCCAAGTTAGTTATAAATGATATGACTGATTGATATTTTTTGAATTCGATTGCCATGAGTTTGCCTCCTAATTTACTACTTATTTTCAACAACAAAAAAACTAATTCCAAACCAGGGCGCTGCGCGCTCCCCCTCTGGTACTTTGAAGGTTCAGCTTGAACTGAGCCAAGGGCTATCTTCTTGCACTCGTCCGTCTCCTCCTCCACCTCCTGGTCCTTTTGCTTGCCGTCAAGAGCTCGTTCAGCTGCGATCTCATTGTCTTTCGCGGCAACTGCGGCCTTCCATCGGAGGCTGAATGTTTCAATCTCCATCAGTTCCAATGGGCTCGCACCCTTGCCTTTGCGCAGCAAAGCGATCATAGCACCATTCAAATTTGTTGTGTAGAGGATGTCCTCCACCAACTTCAAGCAAGCAATGCTGCTACATTTGAGGGTGCTCATCCATTTGTTGTCGGCCTCTCTGTTACCAGCCTTCCCGGGAGTGACGTAGACCCGGTAATCTGAAAGGGTCAAAATCTTCTGCTCGATCATCTTCAAGTCAGGCACGTGAAACTGGCTGCGCGGCATCTCAACCTAGGACAGGATGGTAACACCACGACCAACTAAAAAGCCAAAACATCTACACATTTTTTTTACATCCCCTGGCCTGGAGGAAATGCTTGACTGTTTGGAGCTTGAGCTTCAACAGTTCAACCAATGATGCATTGGTGCCACTTCCCTGCAGGTAGGATTTGCTGATGGTTTCCCGATCGATCTGTCCATTAATCACCATGTCAGTGATCACTTCCATGACCCATTGCCTGATGGACACTGACATACGCAACACAATGACTTGCTAAATCGTTTATATAAAATGTGTACATGTTGAAAATTAAGTTCGACTTGTCATGGTTGAAACCTCCATCCATGATCCTGCCTGGTTGGAGTCGATTCTGACTTCTCAATGATCACTCGCATTTTCTGAAGTGAGTTCAGTGGGGAGGACAGGCCATACTTCTCTTCCAACACGTCCAAGCAAGCGTTGCACACTGGATCGCTCAGCATCTTCTCAAACACAAAAATGCAGTCCTTCACGAATCCATCCGCCATGTCTGTCCGCTTGCTTGCGATTGCCATGTCCGACTGGTGCAAGGCAAACAAGTCGCTCAAATCTTTCACTGACAAGATTTCGCCAGACTCGGCTTCCTTCTGTGCTTTCAGAGATGCAACTTCGTAAGCGAGTTGCCTTGCGGTTCGGCGACAGGCCTCATAGTTTGCAACCACTTGCTGGCGCTTTTTGAAAGCTTGCCAAAAAAGCTGGTCCGGGCCGCCATCCATGAGAATGATCATCACGGGACAAGACAAAATCATGGTGCGCCACTGATCCAAACCAGCATCGTCAACCTGACGGATCAAGCGTAAAAAACGCAAACTGACTGACGAAAAAACAAAACAAAACTTCAAATCTTTAACCACCCGCCTCGCCAGAATCGATTGCGGCAGCAAGAGTGAAGATTATGCAGTGATGCATTTCTTCTGGGGACACAGGGCGCCAATTGCCCTTCAAAGCGTGAAAGTCGGTGTCAGGGGCATCCACACCCACGCAAAAGCTGTCGGCCAAATGTGCTGGCTTGTAGCCGGGAAACGCAAATGAACCCAATTCCTGGACCCGCTTCTTGGATAGTGGCACGGTTGGCGTTGGGCTGCCAAAAGGGTCTAACCAAAAAAGGTTAATGGCACTTCTGTAAGCGCCTTCCTTCTGCAGTGCGATCTTCGCTTCCTGCTGGTTGAACACCGCCTCGTCGCAAACATTGAGACTTTGAATTGACATGGATCCTCATTGCTTGGTTACATTAAATCAACCTTTCAAAGACAATTTACCAACAGTGGAATTGACGTAGTCACCAAGCATCAATTTCTAGCCCAGCAACGGAATAATATTCAGATGACAAGTTTGAAAATGAAATTTATTGGTCAACCATCTCACCCATCAACAGTATAGATAAACTCTAACATACATCGCGTGTTTAACTGACTGAGTCGAGTGATGGCCTGCACGCCCGACGAAGCGTCAACTCCATCAGTGATGGCAAGCGGTTCGGCAACCCGGATGTCGGAGAACTTCGGGCATTTCAAAATGGTGTTGATCGCCTCCATCAGCGACTCATAGTAGCCCTGGTTCTTTTGGGCGTCAGCGGGCATGTTGAGATTGGTCAAAGCAGGCTGCCCAGGCATCCCGCCTGCAGCTGCAGGGGGGTTGCCAGCCTTTTTGGCTTGACTTCTCTGCATCTTTGCCTCTTTCATTGCCTGACTGACGCGCAAACAAAAGACTTTTCACCAAACCCGTGTTTTTTTTTAAATAGGCGAGCATGGATCAATTTAAAACATTGAACGATGATCTATTAAATTAAGTTCCATCCCAAGCGCCTTCACCTGTACTTCCTTTGCCTGGGCTGCTTGCTGCTGCGCTTCATTTTTGGTCTTTCCTGCTCTGATAAGCTGCGCAACCAAAGCTTGCTCCTCGTCGTCCACCTTTTTCTGCTCGGACTTGTTCAGCTTCCACTTGCTGTAATGCTGCGGCATGATGCCCACTGCTATCAGCAACGACAAATTGCTCTTGACCCTTGATGTGGAAAAGCGGCAATGAAATATTTGTTGAAGGCTCTGGAGTTCCAACACCAAACTGAAAACTGTGTGATGTCTTATTAATAATATCAAGTGATCTGATTTTAGTTATCTTCAATTTTTGACTTCAAGGTTCTGACATCATACTAAATTTTCTTTAACCCAGACATGCATAATCGGTGGCAGCTGCCTCTCACTGTTTTCAACCCGACGATGTTCCAGCTTAACTCCATCGGTTTGAGACCTGGCACGAAATCAACATCAATGACAAGACAACAAAATTACACAAGCATACTGTCTAAACAACTGCAAACACATAAGGTTAATCTATTTAATGAAGTAAAACATGAACCTAGGAATGAATTCAAATTGCCTATCTCACATCATTCGTCGTTATTATGTTTAAAATCTGATTTGACAAAGCAGTTTGAACCAATAAAAGACACTTTAAAGCAAATCAGGAGTATGATACTTCTGAAATTTTTCCCCGGCGTCAGTCTAGCCGTCAATGACAGTGACGCATCAACAAAAAAACAAGCCCTCGGATTTGCCGTGCGGCGAGGAGACCCCCCCCCGTTAGGGGGGGGCCCTCGCCAGGCGAACCTGGCTTCGTCCGGCGAGGGGACCCCCCCCCCGTCAGACCCGTGCGGCGAGAGGACCTCCTCCCGTTACGGGTCCGTAACGGGAGGAGGTCCCCTCGCCAGACGAAGCCGGGTTCGCCTGGCGAGGGCCCCCCCCTAACGGGGGGGGGTCCCCTCGCCGCACGGCAATGCCGTAAAAAAGCTGGCTTCATCCGGCGAGAGACCGCTGTATAACGGTCGCGCTTTTGACCGCTGTATAGCGGTCGCGCTTTTGACCGCTGTATAGCGGTTGCGCTTTTGACCGCCGTATAGCGGTTGCGCTTTTTTACTTTGACCAATGATATTTTGATTCTAAGATTTAAATAATTTAATATATTAAAGATGATTAATAATTTTTAATTTAATGGCACATGGCCAAAACGACGACGACACTGAACTGATGAACTTGAAAACATTGGAACATCCCCCCGGGCCTCAACACTGTAGTAGGCAACGGCAGGCTTGAGAATGGGCCAATGAGTCCTGGGGCAATTGGCATTTCACGCGCTTGAGAACTAGATATTTAATCATAGATTGTCGGCAAGTGAGTGACTCAGTAAAAGGTCTTTTACCCCTATGCCGGATTGCTGGTTCAGTTCTAGATATTAACCTCTGGCTCTTCTGGCCCAGGTCTGATCTTGCAAAAAGTTACAGCTCCAGGGGTCGGTCTCCACGCTTTTGGTTTGTCGTACTTCCTGATGTCCCTGATCATCCATGCGAACATGTTCTTGTACCCGTTGATCACATCGGGCATACTGTCCTTGTCAAAGCCGACCTTCTTTGTATTCTTCGCGTTCAGAAAAATTTTTTTCACATGTTTCTCAGAGTTGGACGCCGGCTGCCACACACCACCACGCTTGGACCCAACTCTCAAGCATCCACTCAGCCGGATTTCCCCAAGCAAAACGTTTGCCTTGCTGCATGCCACGGCGACTATTTCTCCTTTCTTGTTGGCCGGAAGGGGGTAGGACCGCAGCTCCCAACTTTTACCTTCATTAAAAACCTTTTCGCACCATGGCTTGCGTATGAAGAGCGCGTACTGGACCATGGCAGCTAGGCCAGTTCAAGCTGGCTATTATACTTGGGAGAAGCAGCTGCCAAGTGTGTTGATTGTTTTTTTTGGCGAATTTCGGCTTAGACTCTTGGATCAAATCCGCTGAGGCTTGGTAAATAACTCCGTCCGATTAATGCATCAAGTTGCCAAACCCGGCAAGGCCCAGCTACATAGCTGGGCCCTGCATGGGCGTGGTATCTTGTGGTAAGTTGACAATTGTCCTTTAATTTAAATTTTAAGCATCGATTTGCCAAACCCGGCGGGGCCCAGCTAAGTAGCTGGGCCTTGCACGGGCCTGGTTCATTGATGGCAAGTTGATCATTGATGCATCAAGTCAGTACATCGCTTTGCCAAGCCCGGCAAGGCCCAGTTATGTAGCTGGGCCTTGCATGGGCCTGGTAAATGGATGGTAAGTTGAACATCGATGCATCAAGTTAATACATCGCTTTGCCAAGCCCGGCGAGGCCCAGCTGCGTGGCTGGGCCTCGCGTGGGCCTGGTAAAAAGATTAGATGGTAAATTTTGAATTGACCATCGATCCATCAAGTTAATACATCGATTTGCCAAGCCCAGGGGGGCCCAGCTAACCTTGCCTGGGCTTGGTTTAAATTAATTTTAGCATTGATTTACCAAGCCATTCAAATGTCAAGTTAAGGGCGGGCGGCGCTCTCTTTTTTTCCCATGACCATCCCCTTCATGGCAGTAGCGAAGGTTCACCCTCTGAACACCCCGGACGTGTGCAAGTCCATCCGAGAAATTTTATCTAGGAAGAAACCTTGCACAAAAGACTCGGATCATGTTGACACTCAGCTTTGGTCGCCAAGACAAAACTAGCTTCTTGTCTAGTCTTCGCGAGCTTCCAGTGGCTGAACTTCACAGGCTTGTTCAGCAAAGACCTGACATTCTTCTCAAACTCAGGGTGTTGGTTCTTGAACTCGGCTGTGAAGAAAAATGTTCGAGAGGTCCCACATGCTCTTTTGAATTTCACCTTGAATCCTTGCTGGCCATTGAACAGGCAGGCGTCCATGACAATCAAACCAAGTCCAGCCGCAAAAAGCCTGGCCCTTTCAGGCATGTTGGCGGCATCCTTGACGATCAATGCATCTGCATCTGTTCGTTCCTTGGTTTTTGTGATGTTGAACTTTTGCAGTGCTACGTCCAACTTGTCTTCTTGAATGTCTGAAGCTACCCAAGCAGTCTTGCCGCTCAGATGCTCCCACTCCAAGGGGCCATGCATCTTGTCAGCAAAAGATCGTTGCACCTTGCCCTCACGCACCAGCAATTTGTCTCGCTCCTTTTCTTTGGCAAGCGTTGTTTCAACCGCTTCCTGATCCACCTCAGCCTCCTGGAGTAAACCCTCTTGGTAGGCTGTGACCATGTGCTCTCTTTGTTTCTTTTTCTGGAATTCGAACTCCTTCTCGTGGGCCTCAGCCCAAAGTTCATGGCTGGGATCTTCATCCAAATTGAAGGAAAGGCTTTGATCCCAATCTTTCTCCACTGCATTGGCCACACTGTCCCTCCTTGCTCTTTTGAACGCTGCCTCTGAGCTTGATGGGTCCTCATTCGTCTTGGGGCGCTTGATGTCTTTGTCGATGCGTTCGCTCTTTCGTTTGCGACATGCGCCTGACAGGGCTGAAGTGAATTTGCATGAGTCTAATTTCATTATGGCCATCCCCACACTAATCAACAAACTTAGTTTCCCGCAGTTTCCCCAACTTATGCGCCTGGCATACATTTCATGTACAACTGCTGCGAGTCTCGTAGAATCACTTCGAGCTCTGCAGGAGTGAAGTCACAAAGCATCAGTTTCATTGCCCGCTCTTCAAACACATCACTTGCAGGCGTCTGTCCAAATGCATTCTTGCGCTCACCTCTAGCGAAGTTCTGCTCCACGCCACTTGTGCTCGCCTGCCATGCAAGATAGCGACGCATCACTGGAGCAATGTCAGCTGTTGGGTAGGACTCCTGGCAAGTCAAAATGATAAGTAGGAAACTCCAGCGTACAAAAAATCAACGTTGAATCGAGTGGCTGAGCAGTCCTGCATAGAATTTCGCCGCTGAGTAGCTTTCATGGTCGCTGTCCAAGCCTCTCGGGTTCCACCATTGGTGTCTCTGCATCGCTTTTCTGCCAGGGGGCGAAGGCGGTGTAGCTGCTCCTGGAAGCCGCCCGAGCTCACCCCAAAGAACTTAGCCAAACGCTCTACACTGCTGTCGGCCGAGCTCTGGAAGAAGGTGTCTGTTTTGGACACTCTTTTCAAAGAAAACACCTCAGAAACTGCCAGCAAACACCGAAACATGTAGAGAAGCAAACGCCGAAAATTAACAGGGATCGATGGGCAATAAACAGAGTGTTCATTATTAATTAAAATAAGTAGTCATTGATCCATTTTCTCGCAAAGGCGCTCCAAAAGCAGAGAAAATTCCATAATGCGGAAATTCTGTACGAAGAACTTCCAAAGCCATCCGAACCCATACCTCCATGTTCTTGAAGCATTGGTCGATTGACTCATCCTGACAGGGCCCCAAGCGGCAGGCAACACCACAAGCGAAAAACTTCAGCTTCCCCTCCGCGAGCAAGTCCATCACAAGCTTCGTGTATCCCGTTGTCGTCAGTATAGCCTTCTGCACAATCAGCATCTGAATCCGATCAGCAAAACTCTGCACGTAGTTTCCAACTTCAGCGCTGTCGCATTCCTCGTTGTCAACCTGCCTGATGAGCAGCAGGCTTTCATCCATGACGTCAGCCACCATACCAAGCTGCAGCAATTCTTGGGCTGTTAGATTCTGCAGCCAAGTTTGCAGCGCTGAGCCTGTTTGATCCTTCCTGGCCTGGATGATCCGTTGCACGGTGGCTAGCACAGCAGGGAGGTTGCTCAAGAGTCGGCAAAGCGGAGCGGTGTGGGACTCGAAGCGGTGTTTGGCCTTGGATTGTCAATATGTTGAATCTCACTTTGCACGTCAGCTCCAAAATTAAAAACACAATGGTACTAACTGATCATTCCCATAACGCAGTTGAAGCCGAGATGATGAACAAGTTTTAGTACCGGACCAAAAATGCATCCACGTGGCTGATTTCAAGTTGTGGCAGTGGACATTCCCGTTCACCAGCTTGGCCACCTCATCATCAAACCATTGCCTGAAGATGAACGAACCATCTATGATTCTCACTGGCGAATTTGCGCCCAAGACATGTTCTGCCATCAGCGCAGACAAATGGTCGGTGGCTTTGAAAGGCCTTT